TTTTGCATGTGTCAGTCCAATTTTCCCAGCACCATTTATTAAATAGACTATCTTTACCCCAATGTAAATTTTTGCTTCCATTGTCATAGACTAACTGCTCGTATATGCCTGGATTTAATTCTGGGCTCTCTATTCTTAAGAACTGAATTTTTAAATAAAATATACACATTTGGTTAGTGACTATTGTATCTTTTTTCCAAAAGCCTATATTAATCCAATGATAATTAAATTCATGTCTTTTAAAGATGAACTAGTGTGTCATCATCACCCTTGTTAATTTTCTCCACATAAACTGTTAACTTGGTCAGAATTCAACTTGACTGGTTTTTCCTATATTTCAGGCAGTTTTCCAACATCACTTTCATATACTTCAGAAAACATTACATCTTTTATAAGACTTGTAATCTTCCTGGGCAATGAATTTGCAATGTATTGCCCAATGCATACAAACAGCTGTAGAAGAGACACTATCCAATAAATACATTGAGCATATGGGTGAGAACAGACACTTCTGCTTAGCAGGCAGAAATACAATTCATCAGTGACTATGTCTACATCATGACAACTGTGGATATTCAGATACTGACGACTCAGGACAGAAAATACTTATTCTTGATCATTTTACTCTACATGCTTCACTATTTCTCACATTTCTGCTCATGCTTCTGATATCTTCTCTGGAATTCAAAAAAAAAAAACAACAAAAAAAACACTACATACATATTTCCTTTCCCTGCTCCACCACTCCTCCACCATCCCCCAAAACATAGGAGGCTATTTCAAATTACATGTGTCCCTCCCTTTATTGATAGAACTATTTCATATACTTTATGCTGGCTGAGGTAAAAAAAATAAAAGTTTAAAACTGCTGCTCAGGTTTATTAGTATTCGTTATAAAAACAATTCTTAAAATTAAAAATCCATTGTTAATGGCTGCTGGGACTACTGTTCTGTAAAATTGAGACACAATAGTCCCATGATTATACGTGTATTTACCTTTTTTCTTAAGAGCCATGTACTATAGCTGGCTGATAGTTATGACATATGTCATCATCTAAAGCTTTGCATGTTTTTCACAGAAATTGTTGTCTAACTTTCCCCTTACCAGTGCTGGAAGATTTTTTTTTAACCTAAATGAATACCTTGTTACATTTCATCTCATTTTAGTGTCTACATGCTGCTTTTCCAATATTGGTCATCAGGAGTGATGGTGAAATAGCCAAATGAGAATTTTATAGAAATGGGAGAGTCGAAAAGAAAATATGCATATATGATTGTCGCCAACTGTCCTTGAGATTCTCATTTCTATATTTTTAGTGGTAAATGTTTATTCAGTTATGAAACAGTGTTGATAATAACTTATGGTTTTGAATTTTTAAATTCAAATTTGGATGGTCCTACTTACCTAAATAAAAAGCTCTAAACTCTATGTGACTTCCAAAAATTCTTCCATAACTTAATAATTTTATTGTTCTATATAATTCAAAAGTCTAGGAACTTTTGTTTTAATCCCTGGGGAGACATTTAGCCAGAAGAAAAGGAGACTAGGGAGAGAGATGATAGCTATAACTACGCTATCTAAATATGTGGCATATAGAATGAAGGAAAGAGTGAATGGATACCGATCCAAAACAGGAAAGAATAACCGGGTGGGCAAAGGTCACTGAGGTTAATTTGAATTTTTAAAAAATTTTTAATGTAGTTTATCACATGCATTTCCCAGTGAATAACTT